GTATGTAATGTATGAATATAATATACAAGTTTCACTTTTTAAATGGAATTACTGAAATAAATCTACTTTTTCATGATATTCTAATTTTATGACCAGCACCTGTATATATGGTGATAGCATCGGGGCTAACACTAAAGTTAACAGGCTAAGCTGACAGCTGTCATCTGACTCCTTTCGATGCAGAGGAGCTCCACTCTGAGCTCCCCCTGGATGACGGAGCTCCTCATCTCATCTCTTAAGCTAGATTTATACTCGACGGGTTGCGCAGGGCGCGAAGGTGCACGCGCCAAAAGTGACGCAATGGCGCCGTCCCCACCCCTGCACGTTGGCCCCGTCCGCCGTTTTGGTGCATGTCGTGCACCTCCGATTCTTTTTAAACTCCGCAAAGGCTAGTGCACGCACCGTGGACGGACACGAAGCTGCTCTTGCTGAACGTATCCGGATGTAACAGCATTTATATGATCCCTCTATGAGAGATCATAAAGATGTTCAAATGGCACAGAATGTTTGGAAGCAGATCTCTGAAGGGATGCAGAAAGATGAATCTGTGTGCAGAAAGGCTTGGAAGAATGAATTGCATGTTCTAGTAATTTATTATGTAAATTTACTTATCTGGAAAATAAACCTAAAGGATGTCTTAGAATTTCTCTTTTGACCAGTACTAATAAAAAATCATATTTTTAATAACAAAATTAAAATGTTGGGATTTTCCCTGTGAGGCAGCAAAGCTTTCTTTTAATTCATGATGGAAATTATATTTACAATACCATTTGAGGTTTCTAATTTATAATAACATCAAATGTTCTTCTTACAATTATAAAAAAAGTCTGATTCAATTTTATAGAGTGAAACTGTTGATGACTTTAAGAATAAGATAATATGCAAACAAAACTGAGAAGGAAAGTTGCAGTGGATATTTCAATGAAGTTTTATTTTATTTAACATAATTTACACTCCAAAATAGACTTAAAAACTAAAAGGTACAAGGCCAAAACAGGAGGCAGCAAGGGCAAATGTGGCAGATAGCTCCACACTTAGAAAAAAAAAAAACACTTCAAAATTAAAATAAGAATATGAATGAATAAATAGAAACAAAATAAAGTTGTGTGACGTCATACATTTCTTCTTCTACGCCCGTTTTTCTTCTTCTACACCCATTTCTTACAACTTAGGCACAGGTTTTAAAGCGCACTGCCACGTGCTGGTCCGTAAAAGAACAGCACTTTGCTGCGCACAACCGTGTGTCAACTATATACTATAAACACAGTTCTTTAACCAGAGCATCGGCCGCTTTACTGCAGATGAGGCCCTAATCCTATCACTTGTGGACTAGATGCTCTTAAACTCATCTGCTTGAGGCAGAGACCCTATATAACTAACCCTATATAACATATCATATAATAATAAGCCTTCCATTTCCAGTTTGAATGTTATTCTAAAATATAACCCAAACAGGACGAAAGCTTTTTAGCTTATTTTAAACTTAGACCAATATTCCACCGAGTAGCCTTCATGTTTCCCTACAGAAACATCATGCTGTTTCTATAGAAACACTTCAACCCACAAACACCGCCAGAATGCTATGAGTTGCATCTAAATGTCATCTTAAAACAAGTGTGTTTGTGTCCCCAAAATCATGCAAGTGGAACTGTGTGTTTCTGCAGAGAAAGAAGGATGTGGTCAGAATATCACACAGGTTCTTGATCTGTGCCACCTGAACATTACAAAAACAAGACCTCTGACAAAACTGTGCTTCACTTCTTACATCTGAATTAGGAGGTTTTTTTTTTTTTGGGGGGGGGGGGGGGGGTATTGAAAACAGGTTTGAAGGAGAGTTTTAAACCACACTTAATTGTTTATACTTTACTTCTAATGAGGTAGATTTTCCTGTTGTCTTTTAAAGGGGCTTTGGTGGTTTTTAAGACCTGCTGAAGGCCTTTTAAAGTGGACTTTGGCTTCTTGTTTTATCTTCTACTTTTCTGTCTAGTTCTTGTACCTGATCATGGTAGTATATTGTGCAGGGTGTGCTTAAGGAATTAGGTAAGTGGATGACAAAAACATTGAACAATAAAAATTCAGCAAAGCACTGAGTATCGCATCCTTCAGTTGATTATTTACCTTTTCCTTTTCGTGAATCGTTTTGTTAGTGCCAAAACACTATTTAATGTCTGGTAGAGTGTTATTTTAAGCATCTTTTATGGATTTAACTAAAGAAACGGGAACAAATTGTGTGTTTATGACCAACTGCAGGTAAAAAATATGACAAAGATGCAATTCACAAGAGTTCAAAGTTCATCCCTTGAGTTTAGAGCAATTTAATATGTGCATGGATCATGGGGCAGATTGTGTTGTTCATCAAATAAAAATATGCATTTGAAAATAGTCAGATACTAGACTAAACAAGAGAAACAACACCAAACGTGCAATTAAAAAATAACCCTCAAGAAATATCTTTTAAAAACAACTTACAATAAATGCATCTATTAGGAGTAAAAAAAATTGAAAGGAAAAGGTGTTTAAGACTTTTGCACAATTGCTCATTGAGACTAAATGTGCACACAGAGCACAGATCGTTGGGTCAGTGATTAATTAAATAAAACCTATAAAAGAAGTTAAAGTGCCCGCTTTACACCTCACCAAAGTAGGTTAAGGTGTCGGCTTAATTTACCACTAATACGTGCCAAAAAGTTCATTAAGGGATCAGTCTATTTACTGAACAACAACATTCCTTTAAACGTTACGGATCACGAACTGGACGTCACATTTTACACAAACGCACTTATTAAAACGACGTCTTAAAATTAAAAATGACAACGCTAAAGCGACCCAGTTTCAAACTAAATCGTCTCGGAGCCACGACAGAGGCGTTCGGATCATATAAAGTTCGTAGTTGTAGTTCTGTGAGTAGTAACGCAGTTATTTTTGGCTAGCAGAACAAGCTAGCGTTACTTTCAGCTAGCTAGAGGCTACCGCCGCGTCGTCCCGTTGTGCGCTTTAATTTTGAAAAGTGAATATAAATAACACTGCGCCTTGGTTTCCCCCCGGATGGTTAGATGCGTTGTTTCTTTGTCGCCGAATATGAAATAAAAACACGAGCAAGGTACTCGTTGTTTGGTAGATGTAAACAGGGGCAAGCGCTCAGGTTCCAGCGGGTAGTCGGAGGCTGCGTTAGCCCCAGCAGTGGTACTCGGAGCTGGCCTCCACTCACCGTGATGTTGCAGTGGATGATCAGCAGCTTCTCTCTCGTTACGTTGAACTGACAACTCAGCTCATCGGGTTTCCAGTCAATTATTCTGAATCGCTCGTGGTTTGGGTCAAAGATTGACTCCAGAAACTTCAGTTCGGCCTTCAGCCCCGAAACCGACATCTTCAGCTCATCTCAAAGCAACCAGGCCGCTGGCGGAGGGGAAGTCTGGGCGGAATGCGACCGCGCAGTTCAGTCGCCTGCTCGGATCTCGCATGTTAGCGTGAGAACAACAACAAAGGGCTGGAGAGCAGCTTTATCTAATAAACCATCAATATGATGGGAGACCTGTCTGCACCGTTTCACTTCATTCAGTCTGCTTTAATCATGTGCTTTAAAGCTAGGACATACAAATATTAGATTAAAGCAAATTAGTTGGTTTTAATTAGGATTTTTGTGTTATAACAAAGTTTTTTTTTAATTTTATAAAAATGGGATCCTTCCAAAGTAACAGACGTTGCCCTGTTTTTAAAAGCTATAGAGATGGTGAGATAAAGTGGTATTTATTTAAAAACAAGTTTGAAATAAAAGAAAAAAAAAATAAAAATAGCATATTCTTTTGAATACCTATACATACAGACCCACCTACGTACCCAAATACCTGCCTACATACGTACTTTTATCTAAATACCTACAAATCCACCTATACTTAGTTACCTTCCTACATTGATTCATACATAGACTACCTACCTACCAACCTAAATTACAAAACTAGTTTTTACCTACCCACCTGCCGCCTACTAACCCACCTACCTGCCCAAATACCTACCTACATCCTACATCAGGGCTATTCAACTAAACTGCTCCGGGGGCCACAGTTACTGCAGGTCAACAGTTCAGGGGTCGAACATCCAGCAATTAAAGTTATTGTGTAAATAAACCAAGTATTACCAAGATCTGTTACCTTTGAAATAGTTTATTTTGCTGCTTTTAATCATGAATACAACATATATAACCCTATAAAAGTAGTGTTAATTAAGCACTATCAAAACAAATAAAAAAAGCAATATGCCTCCTATTTGACACAAATATTATTTTGACAGGTAGAGGCGGAGCTTCACAGAAACACACTACGCCTCTGCTTGTAATTTTAACTGTCTTGAGTGTGCAGAGAAATGGTTTTACCAGCATCTAGCCAAGATTCTAACATTTCTGTAGATACCAAATATGTCTATGTTTTAACTAAAACAACTTATAATAATTAAAGTAGAAAACCAGGGGGTTTGGGCTTAAGAGATGAATGAACCAATTGGTGGGCCAAACTTTGGTCACTTTTGACCACATCCGGCCCACGGACCACCAGTTGAATAGCCCTATCCTACATATCTACTTTTTTTTCTACATACCTACCTACATATGTACTATTGTCCAACTGAACTACTAAGATCAATCTATCTATCTATCTATCTATCTATCTATCTATCTATCTATCTATCTATCTATCTATCTATCTATCTATCTATCTATCTATCTATCTATC